CAGATGCAGACTGCCTCATCTTTCTTCCACAGAGTGGCTGGTGGGTTCAAACTGCCAGCCTTTTGGTTAGCAGCCCAATGCCTTAACCACAGCACCACCAGATCTTCTTAATATGTAAGGGCAAGAGGCCTCAAATAGCTAAAAACAATGCTGAAAGAGAAGAATGAAGTGGAAGGAATCACATTTCCTGATTTTAAGACATATTATAAAAGCAAGCACTATGCCATCGGGGGAGCTCTGATAACATAGTGCCTAAGGCACTTGACTGCTAACTAGAAGGCTGGTGGTTCAAACTCACCAGCCACTCCTCGAAAGGAAGATGGGGCACTCTACTTCCGCAGTGATACTGCCTCAGAAACCCAAGGAGGGGTCACTATGAGTTGGCTCCGACTCGACAGCACATAACAACAACAGAAGGCTGCCTTCTGGTTAGCAGTGCCTTAGGCAGTATGCTACCAGAGCTCCCGCCTCACCACACACAAAAATAATTCACAGTGGATTAAGGACCTAGATGTGAAAAGTGAAACCATAAAATTTTTAGAAGAATAAGCAGGGCAACACTTTCAGACCTAGCTTTTAACAATGGATTATCTACTGTAATAAAAGCACAGGCAGCAAAAGACAAAAATAAATAAATGGGCCCCTATACAAATGAAAATTTTTGTTCATCAAAAACTTTACCAAAACAGTGAAAGACAAGCTACTGACTGGAAGAATATCTTTGGAAACCATATATACAATAAGAATCTAATAACTGAAATATATATATATAAAACTTTGACAGCAACAAAGGCAAACAACCCAATCATAAAATGGGCAAAGGACTTAAATAGACATTACACCAAAGAGAACATTTAAACGGCCAGCAAACACATGAAAAGATGCTTAGTTGGTATCAGTAGCCATCAGGAAGATGCAAATCAAAACTACAATGAGATACCATTTCACTTCCAGTAGGATGGCTAATATATATGTGTATATAAAATAGAAAACAAATGTTAGCGAGGACGTGGGGAAATTAGAATCCTCATCCATGCTGATGGTAATGCAAAATGGTACAGCCTTTCTGGAAAACAATGTGGCAATTCCTTAAAAATTAAAACCAGAACCACCATACCAAACCAAAACCAAACTGATGCCATCAAGTCAGTTCTGACTCATTGCAATCCCCATTAGGTTTCCAAGGCTGTAAATCTTTACAGAAGCAGACTGCCTCATCTTTGTTCTGCAGAGCAGCTAGTGGGCTCAAACCACCGACCTTTTGGTTAGCAGCCAAATGCCTTAACCACTGTACTACCAGCGCTCCTAGAAATTCCACTCCTAGGTACATAAACCCCAAAAGACTTGAAAGCAGAAACTCAAAGTTCCAGTGTTCATTGCAGCACTATTCACAATAGCCAAAAGGTGGAAACAACCTAAATGGTTATCAACAGATGAACAGATAAACAAAATGTGGTACATATATACAATGGAATAGTACTCAGCCAGTAGAAGAAATGAAGTCTTGATACATGATACAGTATAGATGGAACTTGAAAACATTATGCTGAGTGAAATAAGTCAATCACAAAAGGACAAATATTGTTTGACCTCTTCATATATAAAATAATAGATATGTATAGAGAACAAAGTTTATTAATCATTACCAGAGGTGGTCAGAAGGGGAACAAGAGGGATTAACAGTGATGAAAATATTGCATTGACTAAAGGTAGGTTTGCATAGCTGATTATTGAATTGCTGTCAAGAAGTTGTACACATGCAAGAAGTTGAATAGCCATAGTTATGTGATAGATATAATTACATTATAGATATAATGATATATTATAGATATAACAATGACAAAAACAGAGAGAGTAGCTAGCTGCTGAGGCTGCTTATGTACAACTAAAAATCACATGGAGTTTTGTTTCTTGGTTTATATGTTTAGGGTCATGGTTTCATGGGACGTCCCAGTTAATTGGCCTAATAACATGTTTAATGCCTCTGTTCTACCTCCTAGTTCAATGTGTAGTGCCTGGGGTCTTAAAAGCTTACAAGCAGCCATCTGAGGCACAACATTGGTCTCTGTTGGCCAGGAACAACAGTGGAAGAAAGACTTAGGAATAGGAAGAGGAAATGGAATGCATGGCTAATTGCCTCCATGAACAGCTGTCTCCTTTGCCACGAGACCAGAAGAACTGGATGGTTCTTAGCTATCATTACTGAACATTCTGATTAAAAAAACTCCATAAAAAGATCCTGATCAAAAAGGGAGAAATGCAGAAGAGACTTTCAAATTTTCATGGAATTCAGACTTTCTGGATCTATGGAGGGTGAATGAACCCTTGAAACTATTGCCCTGAGATAATCTTTAAACCTTAAACCAAAAATATCCCCTGAAGTCTTCTTAAAACTAGACAATACTTTAGGTTACCTAGTTAAAAAGGTCTGCTTTGAGCGTTGTGTACTTTTAAACCAAAAAGTAAATTCATTGCCATCGAGTCAGTTCCAACTCATAGCGACCCCCTTTAGGTTTCAGAGGCGGTAAATCTTTACGAAAGTAGATTGCCCAGTCTTCCTTCTGTGGAGTGGCTGGTGCGTTTAACTGCCAGCCTTCTGGTTAGCAGTGAAATACCTTAGGCACTACACCACCAGAGCTCCTTAAGAGCAATATATATGGGATAAAATTGACAACAGCAACTCCAAAGGTTAGGAATGAGCCTCAGGGGGCAAGTGAGTTGATGTTAATAAATGAGGAACAACTCAGAAAAGGAGGGTGAGAATGGTTGGACAACTCAAAGTCAGTATCACTGAATTTTATATATAGAAATTGTTGAATTGGTGTATGTTTTGCTGTATTATTCTCAACAACAATAATAAAATAACATTCAAAGAAAAAAAATTTCTGTAGCTACAGCCCTTTAAATTGCTCTTCCTTGTTACATATGCAAAAGAATATCTCCGTGAAGAAGTGTTTTCCTTTATTATGTTGTTCTTGGGTGATTAGCAAAGTATGGTCCCTGCACTGGCACAGCTAGGAGATCCAGATGCCAGCCTTCACCAAGGAGGCTGGTGTTCATGTTGTGCACACAGCTCGCCCCCCACACCACCACATACTAGAAAGCCTCTCAGTGAAAGATATGAGAAATTGTAGTGAGAGTGTTGCTTTTGTTTCTGCAGCTGTCACTCTGCTACTGGAATGGTGTTGGTTTAAAATTGAATGGATAGGTGAGCTTGGTCACTGCTGAGGAAAGAAAAATGTACTCATTATCCATGTCCTAAGAGACACTTGTCCTCCTTGGACATCTAGAAGGGGAGTTTCAGGGGATAAGGAATGATGGTTGCCTCTAGAAACAGCTGTATTGAGGTAGTGTTAATGACATGCTTTGGCTTTTATTCAGTCAAAGAAATAAGTTAAGGGTTTCTGCATTTCTTTAGAACCACAGTTGAGGGTTCACGCTGATATTCATAGTGGGTACTATTCCATATCCCTTGCTTTAGGCACAAATGGTAAATTGCTTTCTAGAAAAAGACTTCTCTCTTAACAAAGCATTTTGTTCCAGTAATGATGTAGAAGTCTTCTAGAGTCAGCGTGGGTTCAGAGATTGCTGTGCTAAAACCATTCCATTTTGAGACCAGACCATTCATTAGGGAGTCCTTTCCTGGTGGCTCAGTGGTTAAGAGCTCAGATGCTAACCAAACCCACCAGCAGCTTCATGGGAGGAAGATGTGGCAGTCTGTTCCTTTAAAGACTGCAGCCTTGGAAACCCTAGGTGACAGTTCTGCCCTGTCCTATAAGGTCACTATGAATTGACTTGACAGGAATGGGTTTTTGTTTTGTTTTGACGTTGGAAGGAGTTAAAAATTAATTTGTCTAAGTTACCATCTGACTTAACTTGGCATTTCTGATAGGAATTAAACCCATAGCATTTTATGAATGATGGAACTGTTTTATAGTCTGGTGGCTTTTTGCCCCCTATTTTATGTTATTTTAAATACTTAAAGGATTTTTGAGCCCATTTGCCTAAAGATCCTTTCTTAAAATAAATACCTGTCATCATAATTCTGTGTTTCATTTTGTGTTACTTTGCCTTCGAAGTAGACACCTTAAAATTCATTATCATTTTTAGCTCTCTGCCTCATTTCTTAACATAATCGTCAAAATCTAATTCTTTGGCTAAACAGAAAGAAACATACATTAAGTGATAATTTGGTTAATAATCACATAAAGTTGTTACAAGTGGGTCGAGTGAAGAAGCAACAATTAATACAGAGGCAAGAATAAGCAATAGAGATGGATTTGATGAATTCTAAGTCCTAAAAGGTTTATAATTTAGAGACTTAAAACTCAGGCTCAATTTTAAAAGTTCTTAATGGGGGAGGCAGGCATGGGGTTAAACTGCAATGAGGGGGGTGGAAAGAAGGAATTATAAGTAGATAGTCTTAAAGATGACGTGGTGGGAAAAAAAAGTTCTTAAATGGTTCCAACAATAGACTAAATAGATGCCCACAAGGATATAAAATAATTCCATCATCCGTAAAATGCTGCAAATTTGAGAAGTGTTTTCTAGAGATAAAACATGAAGCTGCACATGAGTTGCAAAACCCTAAAATTATTACACAATACACCCCTCAACCAAAAAAAAAAAAAAAAGGATTCATGGAAAAATCCTAAAAATGAATTATTTCCAAGATCCTAATAATCTAATCCTAAAACAAGATGTCAGAAAAAGGATGGAAAACTTGACTGGATGCAAAAAACACTCAGCAAGGAGTTGAATTTTAAGCAAATTGCTCATTAGGCCAATGCCCTGCAGCCTCACTACATGGAGTAGAATTGCTGTTCATTGGTATCTCTTCTTTCTCCTGTCTTCCCATTTCTTATTGTAATTGTCCTCATGCATATGTATCTTTCTCTGTAAGCATGTAAAATAATTTGGGGCAGTAGGTGGCCTATAAATCATAAATTATACATCAAGTCATCTTCTACCAACTCACAGGCCCATTTCTTTTATTACAGAGAACAGCCCATCTTCACCACCAGAGCGCACGTTTTCCAGATTGATCCTAGCACCAAGAAGAACTGGATGCCTGCGAGCAAGCAGGCTGTCACTGTCTCCTACTTCTATGATGTCACGAGGAATAGCTATCGGATTATCAGTGTGGATGGAGCCAAGGTACTGCCCATACTAGCTGATTTTAACATTCCCAGTTACTTACATTTCATCGAAAGCAATACAGTGCATTTGGAAAATGTAGGGAAAGAATATACCCCAAATCCTGCCAACTTAATGCAGATGCTACTGTTATGATTTTACTGTCTATATAACCACATGCCCCCCGCTTTTTTTTTTTTTTCATTTAAAATTACGGCAAATGAAAAACCAGTAGATTTGATTTCCCTATTACCACATAGTCTTCATAACTAACATTTTCGTGCCTGTTTATTATTTCCATCAGGGGCCTATAATATTCTTAATTTCGCCCCTGTGGTTGGATATTTAAGTGGCTTCCAATTTTTTGCTATTATGATAATGAGCATCTTCATGCAACAGATATCCTCACATTTCCTTAGGATAGATTCCTGGAAGTAATAATATGGATCAAGATATTAACACTTTACAATTTTTGATACATATTGCCATATTGCTTTCTTAAAGTATTCTTTCTTCAGCATTCCTGAGAATGCCAGTTTATTGCACCCCTGCCAGCATTGGGTACTATATGGTTTGTTTTTTGTGTTATTAGACATGGAGTTGCATTTTATTAAGTGTTTTTGGAGTATTTCTTGAAATAGTAATTTTTTTTCCTAGTTCTTTCATTTATTCTGCTGTCTTCCTAGATATTTTTGCCACCTTGTGATGGAAGCAGAATGATGTGGGGATGTCAGCAGAGGCATCGTCTAGTCTTTAAAGAAAAAAAGGAGACTGGATGCTTTTATAATCTCTTTCTGTCTTTAATTTGGGTTCATCCTGGTTTATATTACTTGGATTATCTGCTGTCACCTAAAATTAAGTGTATCTGGAGCTGAAGTCCCCTTTCCCCTCCAAACCAGCTCTCCATTTTCATTTCCCAGTCACTTGGGCTAAAAAAAGCACTGGTCAAATGGATCTGCCTTTGAAGTGTCTCTGTCATCCCTTCTGTTTTCTTTAAAAGCTGTGCACTTGTTCTGGCAGTCTTACTTGGACCTTTAATAGCCTTCTGACTGTCTCCTTGTCTCCCACTTACAGTCTGTCCTACCCTCTGCCTCTGGGTCAGCATTCCAAGACAGTAGGAAGCAGGGAATCACTGAGTAGTACAGTTAATGCACTCAGCTGTTAACTCAAAGGGTGGAGGTTCGAGTCCACCTAGACATACCTTGAAAGAAAAGCTTAGAGATCTACTTCCAAAAATCAGCCATTGAAAACCCCATATAACTAGGTAGACATACAAGCTGCACAAGTGTGGGAAGGCAAATGGGACTGCACTCTCAAATATATATAGGTTAAACAAGAGGATATTTCTGCATGTTTATCTATATAGACTGCAAATATATCCATGACTATATAGAGCATTTTGGGGAAAAGTTATGAAAATTTCTTAGCCATAACCAAATACCTTGAAGGAATGAGTCACTAGGCCTGAGGCTCAGTACCATAGTCTCAGAGGGTATCAAGGTCAATTGGTATAATATAGTCCACAAAGACAGTGGTCTTTGTCCTACTTTGCTGAGTGGCAAGTGGGATCTTAAAAGCTTATGAGTGGCTGTCTAAGGTGCAACTATTGGTGTCTCCCTGCTGGGAGCAAAGAAGAGTGAAGAAAATCAAAGATGCAAGGAAACAATTAGTCCAAAGTACTCATGTGCCATGTGAACCCTAGCCTCCATGACCCTGAGAACAGAAGAACTAGATTGTGGCTAGCTACCACTACTGATAACTCTGAAAAGGATCACAGTAGGAGATCCTAGAAAGAGTGGGAGAAAAATGTGGAACAAAACTCAGAATAGTAAAGAATACCAGGCTTACTGGTCTGATAGAGACTGGTGGAACCCCTGAGGCTACGGCCCTTCCACACTCGTCAGGCCTGACTCAACTTTCAGCCAAAAAATAGACCTATAAGGTGAAAAATAGCACCAGGGAGGAACACAGTCCTTAGAACAGTCAGCCATATGAGATCAAAATGGCAGCATTTGCTTAGGGATAAAGCTCAGAAGACAGGAAGGAAAAGGAAAGAAGAATGACTGAAACGGTAAACACAGGGAGGAAGTGGAAGAGTGCCATTACATTGTAGGGATTGCAGTCAGTGTCAGGAAACAAAATGTGAATGAGCTGTTGAAGGAAAACCAATTTGCTCTGTAAACTTTCACCCAAATCACAATTAAAAAGTATATTTAAGGATAGCAATAGCGATGGCACAACATGAAAAATGTAATCAATGTCCCTGAGCTGTAAATGTGGAAGTTGTTAAGTTGGCGACTTGTTGTGTATATTTTCACCACAATCGAAGTAAAATAATAATAATAAAAGTATATTTTAGAAAAAGAAAACTCTGCATAGCACACTTCTACTCTGATTACACATGGGGTTGCTATGAGTCAGAATTGACTCATGCAACTGATAGTATAGTAGGAAGCAAGGGAATTAGAAGGGGCAGAGTAGAGAGTGCCTGGTTGTAGGCTCTGCTTCTGCCTTCTCTTGGGGGGCCTACAACCACCAAGCACAGAGTGTGGGGAACCTTTATTTGAAGATCCCCCAAATAAGGCATGAGGGCCTGTTGGTGACACTTCATCCCTGGATGAGGCTTGTTTAACAAGGTAAAATTCTCCATTCAGCCATATTCTTAGAGTGCTCTCAGCCTCAAGGTTAGTGCATGTGGATAAAGGCAGCTTGGCCCAGGGATCCTCTTTTCCTTCCTTCCAGTTGCTACAACCCTTCTCTTACAGAGGAAGGGAGCCGAGAATGCCTTGTTTTTACAGCCAAGGTCAAGGCAGGCAGTGGCCGAGTTCACACTGCTGGTGAGGCTTGGCAGGGCTTGTATCCATCCCTCTGAAGCCTAGCTCCCAGCTCTTTGTTTTGGACCAGGCTTCTCCCTGCTGGCAAGAAGCATTTCCTCACATGATGATCCATATTCAGATAACAACAACTTGTCTGGTGAACATGTCTAAAGACATGCTGGAATTGTTTTGTTTATCTCAACAATGGATGGTAATACATTGCAGGGTTCTGGTGAGCATGAAATGAGACAGGAAGTGTGAAAGTGCCTGGCACACAGTAGGCGGGCACTTTGTGTTTGACGAGTGAATATCTGAAAGGTGCCTTCCCCACCCCCACCTCTTACCCCCCAGTTGTGGAGATGCTGCAGTTGTAATTACCACTTTTCTTCTCTGTGCTTTTAAGCTGGAATTGCCTGGCCTCTTTCCAGGATGTTCTTCGAGAGGTGGTGAATCAAGATGACCTGCTTTCTTTTATCTGTAGGTTCTGTCAGCTCATCTGCCATCCCTGAGATAGGTTTGCACTTTTGTCAGTTGAGTTATCCAAGGATATATGAGGCTTAAATATGGATAAAACTACTTTCTTAGAGAAGGTGCTTTAGTCCTATTAGCTGGGCTTTTAGTAATTTGTCAAAGTGTCGGCTGCTGTATCGTTAAAGCTCTGCAGTTTCTGAAGGCTGTGACAACGTGGTGGAGTCTGAGCCATTTCAGATAGCTGTGGGAAATCAGATGGGTGTGGGAGGGAGGACTGAACTGCTAGCTGCAGAATACAGCTCATGGAGTCTTGGTGTGGGGGACCCATCAAGTTACAGAGTCATTTAAGAACTGAGAACCTATGCCGTGGGGTGCCACTAGAACTTAGAGAGTGAGCCAGAGGACCTGGACCACTGTTTCTATGGCACCCAACTGTCTGGCATTCCTGGAGCATGCCCCCTGCTCCCCCAGAGTTCCTGCTTTATCACTGTAGCACCAAAGAACTTGATGGAACCGTGTTATGCAAAATGGAGCTACTCCTGTATGAGTAGAATCCCTAGGGGTATAGCGAGGTAGGGAACTGCATTAGTATTTAAATACTGTGATTGGCACTTGGGGCCAAGGAGGGGGGCCCATTTTCAGCCCTGAGAACCAGGTACAGAGCTCCTGAAGGTGATCCCAACCCCACCTCAGCCCTGCTGAGCTGGGCCATCTTGAGCTGAAGAGCAGCAACAGGTAAAACCCACAGCCCAAGTCTAGAGCACAGCCTGTGCCTCCAGCTGCTCCACAGTCAGGTGGGGAGTGGAGAAGGACCCCCCCCCGCCGACAGTGAGTTCCCCAGGGTGGTATCAGCTGTTGCCACCTCTAGTCCTGTGCAGTTTCCCTCTTCCCTGCCATGCCTGAGTTTCTCATCGCCCCTTTCCCTGCTTCAGCCCTGGCAGAATAATCCAGGTGGATCACCATCCTGCCCATGGATTGGAATAGAACTAGGATGAAGTGTGCTGGAATGACCTTGGTACATGGGCTGCTACTGGTGCCTTCCCTGTTACATGACTCTTGTTGCTTGCCCTCCCCACTCCCCAGCAGGTCTCTGTGCACTCAGCTTGGTTTTTGCCCCTGCCGCTATTCATTGGCATCTATCTGGGGCCTTGGAAGTGGCATAGATTCACCTGCATTGGGGAATACGCCATTTCTTGGCTTTACCATCATTGTGTTCCACTATGGTGGGAAAAACCCACTATTTTTTATTTAATTTTAATTTTTATTGTGATTTGGGTGGAAGTTTACAGAGGAAATTCACTTTCCATACAGCAGCTCACATATACTTTGTCTCATGACATTGACTATAATTTCCCACAATGCAATAGCTCCCCTCCCACTTACTCCCCACACTTACCTCTTCCCTGTGTCTTTCCCATGCACTCCTGCCTCCTGAGCTATGTCCCTGTGCATACATAGCCTTTCTATTCTCCCATGATTGTTCTCTCCAAGGAGTGTGTCTACCTAATGTAAAGGTTCAGCTCATATGCCTGTCTTTTGTTTGGCTGGAAGCCACAGGATTGGGTTCAATTCCAGACTTGAAGGGTAGCTAGGGGCCATAGTCTCAGTTCTATCAGGCTCTATCAGACCAGCAAAGCTTTTTTAACGATTTTGAGTTTTATTCTACATTGTTCTCCCACTCTATCCAGGATCTCCTACACAGATACCCCTCCGAGTGGTTGACAGAGGTAGCCG